ATGTTCGGGCGTCTCAAACTATGGAGAATAGACGAGGAGGAGGTCGTTTTGGAAGATCTAGACTCAAGTGTTCTTATTATCACAAACTTGGACACACCCGTGAAATGTGCTATTCCTTACATGGTCGTCCACCCAAAAATGCTTACATTGCTCAGACCGAGACTACAGGTAACCGGGGATTTTCTTTATCTAAAGAAGAATATAATGAGCTCCTTCAGTATCGAGCATGTAAGCAGACATCTCCACAAGTAGCCTCGGTTGTTCAGACTGATACTTTTGTTGCTGGTAATTCTTTTGCTTGTGTTTCCCAATCTAGTACTCTTGGACCATGGGTCATGGACTCAGGCGCTTCTGATCACATCTCTGGTAATATATCACTTTTGTCGAATATTGTATATTCGCAGTCTCTTCCCACTGTTACTTTAGCCAATGGATGTCAAACTAAATGATGAGCTCCTTCAGTATCGAGCATGTAAGCAGACATCTCCACAAGTAGCCTCGGTTGCTCAGACTGATACTTTTGTTGCTGGTAATTCTTTTGCTTGTGTTTCCCAGTCTAGTACTCTTGGACCATGGGTCATGGACTCAGGCGCTTCTGATCACATCTCTGGTAATATATCACTTTTGTCGAATATTGTATATTCACAGTCTCTTCCCACTGTTACTTTAGTCAATGGATGTCAAACTAAGGCAAAAGGAGTTGGACAAGCTAATCTCTTGTCTTCTATCACCCTAGATTCCGTTCTTTATGTCCCTGGTTGTCCTTTTAGTTTTGCATCTGTTAGTCGTTTGACTCGTGTCCTCCATTGTGGCATATATTTTATTGACGATTCTTTTATTATGCAGGACCACAGCACGGGACAGACAATTGGTACAGGACGTGAATTAGAAGGCCTTTACTACCTTAACTCACTCAGTCCTTCCACATCATGTCTAGTTACAAATCCTCCAGACCTAATCCACATACGTTTAGGACAACCGAGTTTATCGAAATTTCAAAAGATGGTGCCTAGTTTATCTAGTTTGTCTACATTAGATTGTGAGTCGTGTCAGCTTGGGATACATACCCGAGCCTCATTTCCGTGTAGTGTCGAGAGTCATGCAGAGTCTGTTTTCTCCTTAGTTCATTCTGATATATGGGGTCCTAGTAGAGTCAGTTCAACCTTGGGATTTCGTTATTTTGTTAGTTTTATTGATGATTATTCAAGATGTACTTGGCTTTTCTTAATGAAAGATCGTTCTGAGTTATTTTATATATTCCAGAGTTTCTGTGCTGAAATCAAAAACCAATTTGGTGTTTCTATTCGCATTTTTCGCAGTGATAATGACTTGGAATATTTATCTTCTCAGTTTCAGCTGTTTATGACTTCTCAAGTAATTATTCATCAGACATCTTGTCCTTATACCCCTCAGCAAAATGGGGTTGCAGAGAGAAAGAATAGGCACCTTATTGAGACTGCTCGCACACTTGTAATTGAATCTCGTGTTCCGTTATGTTTTTGGGGTGATGCAGTTCTCACAGCTTGTTATTTGATTAATCAGATGCCTTCATCTCCCATCAAGGATCAGATTCCGCATTCAGTATTGTTTCCCCAGTCACCCTTATACTCTCTTCCACCTCGTGTTTTTGGGAGCACGTGTTTTGTTCATAATTTAGCCCCTGGGAAAGATAAGTTAGCTCCTCGTGCTCTCAAGTGTGTCTTCCTTGGTTATTCTCATGTTCAGAAGGGATATCGTTGTTATTCCCTAATCTTCGTAGGTACCTTATGTCAGCTGACGTCACATTTTTTGAGTCTAAACCTTTTATTTACCTCTGCTAACTACCATGATATATCCGAGGTCTTATTGAGGAGTTTACTATAGCTCTTCCTCCACCTTTGACCACAAAAGTTTCACCCATACCAACCGTTGAGGAGTCTAGTATTGTTCCTCCTAGATCCTCAGCCACAGGAACACCACTCTTGACTTATCATAGTCGTCCGCACCGTACATCAGGCCCAACTGGTTCTCGTCCTGCACCTGACCCTGCTCCTACTGCAGACTTGTCTCTTCCTAGTACACCGATTGCACTTCGAAAAGGTATACGGACCACACTTAATTCTAATCCCCATTATGTCGGTTTAAGTTATCATCGTCTGTCATCTCCCAATTATGCTTTTATATCTTCTTTGTCTTTGATTTCCATTCCTAAGTCTACAGGTGAAGCGTTGTCTCATCCAGGATGGCGACATGTTATGAGTGATGAGATGTCTGCTTTACATTCAAGTGGTACTTGGGAGCTTGTTCCTCTTCCTTCAGGTAAATCTACTGGTGGTTGTCGTTGGGTTTATGCAGTCAAAGTTGGTCCCGATGGCCAGGTTGATCGACTTAAGGCCCGTCTTGTTGCCAAAATATATACTCAGATATTTGGGCTCGATTACAGTGATACCTTCTCTCCCGTGGCTAAAGTCGCATCAGTCCGCCTTTTTCTATCCATGGCTGCGGTTTGTCATTGGCCTCTTTATTAGCTGGACATTAAGAATGCCTTTCTTCACTGTGATCTTGAGGATGAGGTTTATATGGAGCAACCACCTGGTTTTGTTGCTCAGGGGGAGTCTCGTGACCTTGTATGTCGCTTGCGTCAGTCACTTTATGGTCTAAAGCAATCTCCTCGAGCCTGGTTTGGTAAGTTCAACATGGTTATCCAGGAGTTTGGCATGACTCGTAGTGAAGCTGATCACTCTGTGTTTTATCGGCACTCTGCTTCTCGTCTCTGTATTTATCTAGTTGTCTATGTTGATGATATTGTTATTACTGGTAATGATCAGGATGATATTACCAATATAAAGCAGCATCTCTTCCAGCACTTCCAAACTAAGGATCTAGGCAGATTGAAGTACTTTTTAGGTATTGAGGTTGCTCAGTCTAGCTCAGTTATTGTTATTTCTCAAAGAAAATATGCTTTAGACATTCTTGAGGAGACAATGATGATAGGTTGCAGAGCTGTTGACACTCCGATGGATCCGAATTCTAAACTTCTGCTAGGACAAGGTGAGCCGCTTAGCGATCCTGCAAGCTATAGGCGGCTGGTTGGTAAATTAAATTATCTCACAGTGACTAGACCCGACATTTCTTATCCTGTGAGTGTTGTAAGTCAGTTTATGAATTCTCCCTGTGATAGTCATTGGGATGCAGTTGTCCGCATTATTCGGTATATAAAATCGGCTCCAGGCAAAGGGCTACTGTTTGGGGATCGAGGTCATGAGCAGATCGTTGGATACTCAGATGCTGATTGGGCAGGATCACCTTCTGATAGACGTTCTACGTCTGAATATTGTGTTTTAGTAGGAGAAAATTTGGTGTCTTTGGAAGAGCAAGAAACACAATGTAGTTGCTCGGTCTAGTGCAGAAGCAGAATATCGAGCAATGGCTATGACAACATGTGAGTTAGTCTGGACCAAACAATTGCTCAAGGCGTTGAAATTTGGTGAAATCAGTCGGATGGAACTTGTGTGCGATAATCAAGCTGCCCTTCATATTGCATCAAATCCGGTGTTCCGTGAGAGAACTAAACACATTGAGATTGATTGTAACTTCGTCAGAGAAAAGATACTTTTAGGAGAGATTGCTACAAAGTTTGTGAGGTCGAATGATCAGCTTGCAGATATTTTCTCCAATTCCCTCACTGATTCTCGTATTGGTTATATATGTAACAAGCTCGGTATATATGATTTGTATGCACCGGCATGAGGGGGAGTGTTAGTTTACAGATATGTACATAATATAGTCCTGTCCCACATTGGAATAGGAGTAATATGTTCTTGTAGAGTATAGTTATAAATAAGGATCTCTTGTATTGTACTGAGTATCTAATATCAATAATATATTTTCTCCCGTGCTTTCTCACAATTAGTATAATAAGGTAAACTGGTAAAGTACAATCATTTGGTAGAAATTTATGAATTATGTGGGAGAAAAACCTTAAGGCCAAATGTAATGTTGCTGATTCTTTACGACTTTCTCTAACATCTTCATGAGTAGGCTTACTTCTGTGTGAACTCCTTGGATTGCTAAGAATATTATTTGTTTCAAAAGCTGATGTTTGTGTAGAATTGGAAAATCAACATGAATCTACTTTGACGAGACAGAACGACTGAAATATGTCTATATTTGCTGATATAGATGTGGTCTACTAATGACTGTCTATAGTAGGTTTACATTGTGCTCATTTTCTATATCTGAAAGGCAACCCTTTGCCACCTCAGTCAAAAGAGCATCTTTTAACTTTGAAGTCTTTGATGTGATTCCATCATAGCGGGGCAAAGTTTTCTTTGAAACAATGATAATAAAAAAGATCTGGCGCGCTGTAAGATTTTCTAGTTTTTGCTATACTTCTTGTATGCGTGTATTTATGCCCTTTCTTAATAAAATCTTATTACTTGATCAAAAAGGAAAAATATCTGGTACCTAATTTTTGGTTTAAAATTACCTTCTTTGTTCAAAACTGGAAAGTACTTAAAAGCTCTAAACTCTAGCTTTTTGAAAAGAAAATTTGGAACAAAACTTATACAAACTAATGGTACTTTATGGTATCCGAAGCACTTTGGAAAGCACCTATGGTTAATGTAAAAATTACACTTTCCTCAACTGTGGTGGATGTTTTTTAACTAAGTGCTAGAGTATTTTAGCCGTAAAGTTATTTCCAGGACATTCTTTTGCTTACTCCTTCAAATTTTATCTTATTGGCAGAGCTCCCCGTCATCTCATCCCTCCGGCGTTGATAACAATAGTAGTGTATTTGGCAGATTCCGGACAAGGTATAGGTCGTCATCCCTTGGAGAGGAGAATTTAGGCTGTCGTACTGTTGATCTTCATACTTCTACTCTAAAACCTGATGCGGAGGACACAGACCTGAGGCTTTGCTTCAGAATTATTTCGCCGTTAAAAACTTATACATTGCAGGTAAAGCATAGAATAGTCGATCTTTGTTCTCAATGCTAAATTGATAGTAATATGTCAATGCTAGAAGGGAAGAACATTTCAAAGAAGAAAGAGTTAGAGTAACTCAATATTTTAAACTGTTTTATTAGGAAGTTTGAGTTTTAAGTCTACTATTGTTTTGATGCATTAGATCTGTATCTGATTACTGAATGGAGGAATGCTACAACTTTTTGACGATATAGTGTAATTGTTTCATTTGGCTATCTATCTTTTAGTCAAATTGATTCAGGTTACCATTTTTTAAGCTTATGCACAGTATATTTTGTTTTAATCTTCATCAAGTAAATAAAAGATCTGTCAACTGTGCGTTTGTCAAGTCTTATGCTTTGGCACTTTATAGTAATGGGCTGAACAATAGTCACAATTGGCTTCTTTATTTGCTTCAGCAGAAAGAACCATGAACGGTGCAAGCTCTTCTGTAGTTGCACTAATGTGTTACCAGATTCTACAACACTTTAACAAGGGCTGATCCATTATGTATAACAATTGCCCTTTATTTTCACTGGCAGGCTGAAAGTGAAGCTGAAAGAGTTGACTGGATGAATAAAATCACCGGAGTGATTGCGTCCCTTTTGAATTCTCATCTACATAAGGTCGAATCTTGAAATCTAGTTTTCTGTACAAAATAATTTTCTGAAGTCATCTTGAGCGTCGTCTTGTTTTTGCAGTTTGATCCTAGTAAAAATGACGTTGATAGTAGCAACGGTACCTATGCTGCTTCTTTAAATGTTCAAGGGGCTGTTAGTGGCGAAAATGCACTAGCTACCATGAGAGTCAATCAGGCCGATTCTGTTTCTAGGATTCTCAGAGAAGTTCCTGGAAATGACACGTGTGCTGACTGTGGTGCTTTAGAACCTGATTGGGCATCTCTAAATCTTGGTATCTTAATTTGCATAGAATGCTCGGGAATTCATCGGAACCTTGGTGTTCATATCTCAAAGGTACATATTTGTCAATACTGAAATTTCTTTTGTTCCTTTTGTGTACAAATATCCGTCTTATTTTTGCAACAAAAAATAGACCACTTTAGTTCATGGTGTTTGTTCAATTTTCTACTGGTCCACATGCATGTATATCTGCGAATATAATTTTTTGCATTACTTTCATGATGATCCATTGTTAGTTCCGGAGGTTAGTAGCTATTGAATGAGAGGAGAACGAACATATAGAGGTATAAGGTAGCTAGGAAAGAGGCGAAGTTGGCGGTCACGGAGGCTAAGACTGCGGCATTTGGCCGTCTGTACGAGGATCTGGGGGACAAAGGCCGGGAGAAGAAGTTATTCCGACTGGCCAAGGCGAAAGAGAGGAAGGCTCGAGATCTGGACCAGGTGAGGGGGGTCAAAGACGAGGACGGTAGAGTATTGATGGGAGAGGAGCATATTAAGAGGAGATGACATACTTACTTTCATAAATTCCTGAATGAAGAGGGGGATCGGGACATTATGCTAGGTGAATTGGGGCACTCCGAGAGGCACCGAGACTTTAGGTACTGCAGGCGCATTAAGGTCAGGGAGGTCGTGGGGGCTATGCGTAAGATGAGTAGGGGTAGAGCAATCAGGCCGGACGAAATCCCGGTAGAATTTTGGAGGAGTGTAGGGTAGAGCAGACTTGGAGTGGTTGACTGGGCTGTTCAATGTTATTTTCAGGACGAAGAGGATGCCGGATGAGTGGAGGTGGAGCATGATGGTTCCACTGTACAAGAACAAAGGTGATATCTAGAGTTGTAACAATTATAGGGGTATCAAATTACTAAGTCATACTATGAAAGTCTGGGAGAGGGTGGTATAAGTGAGGGTGAGGGGGACGATGTCTATATCCGACAACCATTTCGGGTTCACGCCGGGTCGTTCGACTAGGGAAGCTATTTACCTTATTAGGAGGTTGGTGGAGCAGTATAGGGAAACAAAAAGGATTTGCACATGGTGTTTATTGACATGGAGAAAGCGTATGACAAGATCCCTAGAGAGGTTCTTTGGAGATACTTGGAGGCTAAAGGTGTGCCGGTTGCCTTTAGGGCGATTAAGGACATGTATGATGGAGCTAAGACTCGGGTTAGGACAGTGGGAGGCAACTTAGAGCATTTTCCGGTTGTTATGGGGTTACATCAAGAATTTGCGCTCAGCCCGTTCTTATTTGCATTGGTTATGGACGCACTGACACGCCACATTCAATGGGAAGTGCCATGGTGTATGTTATTCGCTGATGACATTGATATGATCGATGAGACGCGAGGCAGCGTTAACGAGAGGTTGGGGGTTTGGAGACAGACCCTTGAGTCTAAGGGTTTCAAGTTGAGCAGAACTAAGACGGAATACCTAGAGTGCAAGTTCGGCGCGGAGCCGAGGGAAGCGTGCACGGAAGTGAGGCTTGAATCACAGGTCATCCTCAAGCGTGGCAGTTTCAAGTACCTTGGGTCGGTTATCCTGGGGATGAGGAGATAGACGAGCATGTTACGCACCGTATAGGGGTGAGGTGGATGAAATGGAGACTAGCATATGGAGTACTGTGTGACAAGAAAGTGCCTCTGTCACTCAAAGGTAAGTTTTATAGGGCGGTGGTTAGACCGGCCATGTTGTATGGGGCTGAGTGTTGGTTAATTAAGCAATCACACATCCAGAAGATGAAGGTACCAGAAATGAGGATGTTGAGGTGGATGTGCGGGCATACTAGGATGGATAAGATTAGGAACGAAGTTATTCGGAAGAAGGTGGGCGTAGCTCCTATGGATGACAAGATGCGGGAAACGAGGCTCAGATGGTTCGGGCACGTACGGAGGAGAAGCCCAGATGCCCCGGTAAGGAGGTGTGAGCGGTTGGTTTTGAAGGGTACGAGGAGAGGTAGAGGGCGGCCTAAGAAGTATTGGGGAGAGGTGATCAGACAGGACATGGCGTGGCTTCAGATTTTCGAGAACATGGCCCTTGATAGGAAGGTGTGAAAGTCGAGCATTGGGGTTGTAGGTTAGGAGGTAGTTGAACATTGTTTTCTTTGTACAAGTGTGAGGCTAGTCTGATAGGGCTTTGTCTTAGACTGCTAGTGGTCATGTTGTGTTCACACTATTCTACTATTTTTCTTTGTGCCGGACCTTATCTACGGATTATTGTTAGTGTTTTGCATCTATTCTCTGATTCTTATGTTGCTGTCATCATTTATTTTGTTTTTTGTCGATAGTACTGATATATTGTCTCTCTTTTCGTCTTCTTGAACCGAAGGTCTTCCGGAAACAGCTTCTCTACTCCCTCGGGGTAGGGGTAAGGTCTGCGTACACTCTACCCTCCCCATACCCCACTTGTGGGATTTTACTGGGTTGTTATTGTTGTTGTTAGTAGCTATTGAATCTTTTCTGGAAATGTATTTTGAGTTAATACCGTTTTTGCCGTCGCTGCAAAAAAAATTGAAAGATCTATGGGCCTGTATTTATTCTTGAGATACTTATTATTTACAGGTCAGGTCCATCACGTTAGATGTCAGGGTTTGGGAGCCTACCATTTTGGATCTTTTTCGCACATTGGGTAATTCTTACTGTAACTCGGTGTGGGAGGAGCTGCTTCTACTTCCAAGTGGCAGGTATGTTCCTTTAGTTGATAACATACAAGAAAGGCATTCTTGCATGGTATAAATTTCTGTAGATCTTCGAGTTCAGATTTAATGTGAAAGGTCCTCCAGTCAGTCAAGAAAAGAAATGTTAAGAGATGTGAAAGATCATAAAATTCCCGCTTTACAGATAACAGAACTATCTATGTCCCTATCTACTATTTCAGTACATTGTCGGACAATTCATCTTTTGATAACAAATGTAAGAAACAAGTAGATAATGTCCCCACGTGCCAGGATTATATTACATGCATTTAGCTCTAATGATTTGTAAACTATGTTTTACTAGTATAACTCGTGTTGAATGATCAATTTGTTCAGATCAACAAATGTTGATGCTATTCAATCTGTTTCCAAGCCAAGCCCGAAAGATGGCTTTCATGAAAAGGAGAAGTACATTTTGGCAAAGGTATACTTTCTTGCATGTTTTAAGGACTTTCCTTCTCCATGTCATACATTTTTTCCCTTGTGCTAAGCCTGAAAATTCTGTTTACAGTTACTGAGATTTGATATAATCTCAAAGGAAGTCATGTGAAAAATACCTTAGTATGTGTTTAGGTGCTTGAGTTATGCCCAAAACCCCTTTTGGGAGATTCATTTGCCCCTCCAATCCCTATGAACTATAAAATGGGATCCAACACCTCCTTAGACTTGTGATGACCCTCTTGAAACAACCTAGGTAGCCTTGAGTCAAATAACTACCTTCCCCAGTTATCTTCTTCATAAGATTCTGAAAATTCATTAGATTGTTTCCAAATTAATCTTGATATTTCCATTATAGCTATAAGTTCTTCGTATTCAATTCTAATTTTGTCAAGAAGACTGCCTTCTATAAATCTTACCTTTTTAAAAAAGAAAAGAAGAATATTGCCTTCTATATTTTTTTAGTTTTTAAAATAATTTTAAAGTTAAAAAAAATAAATTTAAAAAATTTAAAAAATATTGCCTTCTATAAGTTTTTTCTATTTGGTTCCACCACGTCTTGTATACTTTTTCTTGATCTCCTCAGCTATTACTTTGTTTGTAGTTTATCTTTCAGACCTTATTCTATCTTCCTTAAAGAGGGATCTGCCTATTTCATTTTTAGCTCTGAATCCATAAGCATCATTCCTATTCTCATTTTAGTTCTTTTGCTATCCTTTTCCACGTCAATATCTTCAGTGTAGCTGCAAATCTTTAGCCTGGATCTGCTATATGCTGTGCCACCGTTGTTCCATTTCCCTGAATGTAGGTTCCTGGACATACATCATCTATCTGAACAAGGCTGTCCTCCGACATTAGGCCCACTTTCCAGCACAGGCCAAATATTCGTTTAATTGTTTTTGCTCTATTACATTTTTGTTTAGTTCACCATTAAAACTTGAAATGAATTTAGTAGTTCATATCCATCTGTGTTATTTTTTGCATAACACATCAAATGATTGAACTAGAGTGGAAATTTCATGTCATTGTGCTTGATACTGTTACTAGAAATATTTGTAACAGTAATTTGTTAAGTTACTAGAAGTATTTGTAACAGAAATTCTTTAAGTTAGTATCATTAACCAAACTAAGATGATCAATCATAAGAGTTCCGTCACGGACAGTTCATATATAAAGTATATTAGTCTTTATAGTACAAATACTTGTACTAGAGTAAAAATTAATGGAGATAAATCTGAGTCAAGTTACAATTAACCATATAGAAAATGTATATCATCAAAAATCAAAGCTCTTAACAATTTGGATTTTGTCAGCTTATTTGCTTTAGCTAAACATTTTTTGTATCAAAGCTGACTCTTTACCCCACTGTTGTACTTCTTGCATCTTCTTGATGCCTATTTTATTAACTACTACATCAAAAAAAAAAAAAACAATCGCTGCTAGAAATGAGAATGTATGCAAAGTTTCTATGAATATTTGCTATATTAACTTGCTTCATGTTGTCCAGTATGTTGAAAAGCAGGTTGTGAATAAAGAAGCTCTTGCACCTTACAACAACAATCGTGCCACCGGCATCTGGGAAGCAGTTAGGAGTAATAACGTGAAGGAAGTCTATCGAATTATTGTAATGTCAGATGTGAATATAATCAACACTACCTATGATGAGGTCAAAGGTGCTAAAATATACCATGAAATCCATGAAAATGATTCAAAACTAGGCTTTGATGATTCCAAAAAGAAACATCAAAACCCAGCAGGCTGTCAGGACATCAAGCTTTGCCGTCAAGGATGTTCTTTGTTACATCTAGCATGCAACGGTGACAGTCCAGTGATGCTTGAGCTTCTTCTGCAATTTGGTGCAGATATAAATAGGCGTGATTTTCATGGAAGGACTCCTCTACAACATTGTATCTGCATGGGGAGACACCACTTGGCAAAATTTTTGCTTAGAAGGTGATATATTTAATTCAGAGTCATTTTTACGTAGCATGGTTGATAATCTGACCTCTCAGCAACATATATTTCTATTAGTTCTCCCAATATTTAATTTGGTTACATTTTCTCAGCATTTAGATCTGTAGTTCTTTCTTACAGTTGGCTAAAATTATTTGAATTCATGACAAGATGACTTCCATGGTTCCACATTAAACTGAATTCAAGATTATACTCTTTCTTGCTTTTAGTTACTATATGCTTACCTCCATCATTTGTTCCTTTGCTCTTGGTTTTTAAAAAGGAACCATAATACTTATGCTGTATTCATCTATGCGTGAACATATCATTTTAAATTCAGATCTAATGCTAATAACTTGTGTACCTTCTTGGACATAATGTGGTAAAGTTGTCTAACCTAAACAAAGTATTGGCGAATGCACGCAAGATTGACGGTGCTTTCTGGTTCAACTACTTTCAGCCAACCGACTTCGTAGCACTAGTTTTCTAACATCCTAGTCTTCTTTGGAAAATAGACTTCCTAATCATCTATGTTAGTTGGACTGGGCTATGGCTGTTAGACATGGTGCATGTCGAGGCGTCAGAGTTGCCATAGCCTTTATATCAAGGATAGACATGTGTGAGTAACACACTAGATGCAGGTGATAGGATATGGCTGATAAGCATGAAAATTTAGGTTATATGCATATAATGTTTCACTATCTAGCCTCTTGACATAAAGAATGACCATTCCTTTGGTATAAGGGGGGACACAGTAATCTTAAGGTTAGGAGGAAAAGTTCTGATTGTAAGTAAGTTCATATTGAGCAATTTATGTGCACTTTAACAAAAATCTACTACTTTGACTATTCTGAGCTTAGAAAAATTCAAGTATCCAACTAATAAATTATCCTGTACTAGTGCCTATGTTATGTCATAACAGCATGATAAGTTGACCTCATTGGAGCTCAGAAGTGACATGCGTATTTCCAGCTCAGCCTATACCAAGTAGCTTTTCACATAGTGGTTTATTTCAAGAAATTGTGTTGTACTTTAGCGACTTCTATAAGTTCATACTCTGGGGGAAAGTTCACATCCAAAGGACATAAAGTTTTTGATATTTTACATTCTCTACTAACTCTCTTTTGTTACTGCTAGTACTCGTGGCTCCCAATTTCAAAGGGGTTGATGACTTGATGTTGAGCTTATGCTTTGTAAACCAAATATCGAACTCTTAAATTTTTCCGAGTCTCATATTTATGCTTTGCCTGGCATGTATGTTTTCAGAGGTGCCCGTGCATCGATCAAGGATTACGGTGGACTCAGTGTGCTGGAAAGGGCCATGGAGATGGGTGGAATCAAAGATGAGGAGTTATTTATCCTGCTTACCAAGAGTGAGTGAAATGGGCATTTTTTTTTTAATTGGCAGCTCCTCAGCTTCCAACTTCTTTAAATTGTAAAGCATGTTTTTCTATAAATGCTTACTATTTTCTCCTCTACTATTTGAAATTCAATTTGTCTCTCCCTCTCTCCGGTTTACGTTGTCGATGTTTGGTGAAGTTCCTGAAAAAAACAAGAACCAGTGCAGTGTTCACAGATCCTTTTTTCACATTGTTAGTTTTTGAAACAACCATTCTAGATATTAAGAGTAAAAAGCTGTAAACCTTCCTGAGAGGAACTGGAAGTTTGTTTTTTCATCAGATTCTCTTTGGTAAAGTATGTCAATCTAAAGTTTTACAATTTCTTAGGAACTGGAAAGTTCTGCTACTATCTTCATCTAATGTTTTCTATCAATTCTAAACCCTCCTGTTCTGATTTTTTTCCTTTTAAGTTCAAATAATTACGTTGTTTAAATAATACACAAGCACTTTGTTTTGCATATCTTATTTAATTTATTAAGTTATGTGGACAATAAAATGCTCATCGACTTTTGTAGCACTTCAATCAACAGGCACGAGTTAGTAGGGCTGTGCATAATTTGGTAAATATCGAATTACCGTACCGAAATCGAAAATTTTGATATTTGGTATTCGGTATGGTATTTGGTTGAAGTTTTAAAAAATAATTGGTATTAGGTATGGTATTTGATATTTTAAAATAAAATACCAAAATACCGATACCGTACCGAAATATATATTATATTATACAATACACATATTATTAGTTATAACATAATTATAAGAAATCTAAAATTTTACTTTCCTTTATTCTCTAAGTTTATCAATTAATTCTAAGCAAGTAATAAGACATTTCTATTGATCAAATTTATTCTTTTATGTACAATTTTCTCTCTGGGTTGGTTGCTGGTTTTGGATATAACTTTTGTCAACAAACTTTTTTTAGTTTTGTAGTTTCGAGTACTTTAATTAAGAATATTATCGTCTGACTCTATGCACTAGTTAGTATTCAAATCGAATAAAGTGAAGTTACTGAACCGAATAAACTGAAATCGAAAGGAGAAAAACCGAATTATACTCACTTTAATTAGGTACGGTATTGGTATAGCATTTTAAGAAACCGAATACCGAATTAAAATGTCTAAATACCGTACCGAGGAACACTACGAGTTACAACCCGCAACTCGATTGCATTATGTATATGTGATATTTCATTTTTTACTCAAACGATGTGCAAACGATTAAAAATTTCTTTTGCAGAAACATGACCAAGTTCTACATTCGAAACGTGAAACAAAAAATCCAAATCGGGGTGGAAGCAATTAAAATAGGAACTTTGCTTGCATAAGTTAATTGATAACGTTCAAGACTATGCAGGATTATATACAGAAGATCCTAAATCATCAATCGAATCATTTTAATCATACAAGTAAAGAAAATCTTCGTCATAAAAGTAATTCTCTTTGTAAATATATAAATTGTTAAGTCTCATCGACATAGGTTCTTGCCCATTTAGAGGTGTAGTTGAGCTTGATTAGTAGATCAAAAGTTATTTTAGGTCGTAGATTCAAATTTCAGATGGGGAGGTAAGAGCGATTAAGACTAGAAGTCATGGTCCAATTAGTGATGACAAGATGCACCTAACTCAATAATATGGAACAAAAGAACTACCATAGTGTTAGATATTAAGACAAAAATAAAATTAAGAAGGGATCTAGATAAAATCATGCAAGACTTTGTGCCTTTTGCCGTCCGAAATGATATATTTAGGGCCCTCAAATCAAAACCAAATAAAGCTTAGTTTAGACATTGGCTTTCTGTATTACTATAAGATTCTGATGTTTTTGTCTCCCATCTTTTTTAAAATATTAATTAATTATTTGACTTCAAATATTTATTAGTATATAACACAAAGCATTTCCCATAAAGTTCTCTTTTAGCTCCACTCGTGGATGTAATTTTTAAATTTTGGAATGTATTCCAAAAGGAACATGATAAGATGTTACTCCAAAAAAGTAGCTACCTCCCCCACCTATCTATATATAGTAATATTATGTGTATGGATTTACTATAGTTGTATATTTGGGGTATTCTATTAGATTATATTCCATTGCAAATGGTATTATATTGTTTCTTAATTCAGAGTTAATGTGATCAAGTTTTAAAGTAAGCTTAGATTATTAACCATACAAAATGTAGGTACAAAGGGTCGATACAGTCACCTGATTCAGTTATATGTATTTAATGAACCACTGTCCTATAATGTGATCCGGATTTAGTGGGCGTTTGGACATAAGAATTGTGAAATTCCGGAAAAAGTAGATTTTTTTTTGCAAATGAAAGTGATATTTGAAGGTGAGAGTTGTATTTGGACATAAATACATTATGAAGTTATTTTTAAATTTTTGTGAGTGATTTGAAGTGAAAATTTTGAAAAATAGTTTTTTGGAATTTTTTAAGTTTTCGAAAATATTCGAAATTCAACTTCAAGTGAAATTTAAAAATTTCATGGCTAATCCAATATTTTTTTATGGCCAAACAGGGCCTTAGTCTGTTCCAATGCGAATACCGGGGATCGTAAATGAATGGAAAATCAAAAAAATATAACATAATATACAAATATTCTGATTTGCAAAGAGGGGCCTTGTATTAAATATTCACTTTGTACCTGTTCTTGCCGCCCTACAAGAAAGGTTAGGGATTATAGGGTATATCTTAGGCCTCAGAATCAATACTCGATAATGCTGCCTTTAGAAAATGGCTTTCCTTATTCAGAGATTATGATGTTTTGTTTATCTTTTTCATTATTGTTAATACAGTAGTTGACCATAAATTTTAAATTAAATACAAAGTTATTACATAAAGTTCTTTTTCAGTTCCCTCGTGAATGCAATTTTTAAATGGTCTAAGTTGCGATGTATTCCCAAAGGAACCATGATAAAATGTTTCTTCCAAAAAATAGGGTACTCCTAGACTTCTCTTCATATACTCTTGTTGCTCTCTAGTGTAGTTGTATTATGTTTGCGTAATCATTTTATTTGTATATCGACTCTTCTTTAAATATATAAATATATTATAACGATCCGGTCAGTTGATTTGAGAGTATTAGCCCCAATACCCTAATTATTGCTCCCTCTACTTCATTTTTATGATTATGTGACTTGCCGGGGAGCTTGGTGTCGGGTTCGGGAGAGTTTCGGAGTGAAATGGGACACATAGTCCCTAAATTGGAAGTTTAAGTCGTAGGAGTTGACCGTAGTTTGACTTGTGTGAAGACGGCTCCGGAATGGAGTTTTGACGGTTCCAATAGCTCTGTGGGGTGATTTTGGTCTTAGAAGCATGTCCGAATGTTGATTTGGAGGTCTGTAGGTCATTTCAGCGTTAATTGGCGAAAGTTGGAAAGTTGGAAGGTTTTGGAAAGTTTGACGGAGAGTGGACTTTTTGATATCGGGGTCAGATTCTAATTCCGAAAGTTGGAGTAGGTATGTAATGTCGTTTATGACTTGTGTGCAAAATTTGAGGTCACTCGGACTTGATTTGATAGGGTTCGACATCGAATGTAGAAGTTAAAACTTTATAAGTTCATTAGGCTTGAATTGGGGCGCGATTCGTGATTTTAGCATTGTTTGATGTGAATTGACGATTCGAGCGTGCTCGTATAATGTTTTAGGACTTGTTGATATATTTGGTTGAGGTCCCGGGGGCCTCGGGTGTAATTCGGACCATGTTCGACGCTTTTCGGAACATTGAAGATTGCTGAATTTGGTGCTTTTAGTTTCCTTATGCGCGATCGCGAGTGGAATAACGCGATCGCGAAGAGTAGTGTGGCACTGGAGGGATTTTGCTCTATGCGATCGCGAGGTTGTGTATGCAATCGCGGAAGGTTGGTTTACAGTGAATCGCGAATGCATGTAGGAAGCCGTGTTCGTGAAGAAGGAATGGCGATGCTGGGGCTGAAGCAGTTCGTGCTACACGATGGCGTGGACTAGGATGCGATCGCAGAGTTGAGGCAGCTTGTTAATCGCGTTCCCGATTGCTTTCACGCGGTCGCGGTGAGTAAATTTGAGATAGGCAGAAATTGTGTTACGCGATCGAGAAGGGATTTCCGCGATCGCGATGTGTAAGAAGGAATTTCCGCGATCGCGATGTGTAAATCACTGGGCAGCAGACTAAAATTTCAAAATGAGGGTTTATTTTCTTATTTCACAATTTGGACTTTGAGAGCTCGGTTTAAGGCGATTTTTCGAGGGGTTTTCAGAGGGATTGTTGGAGTAAGAGTTCTTAACTCGTTTTTGATTAAATTTCACTAATCTATCTTTGATTTCGTCATTTAATTAGGGATTTGGGTAGAAGAATTGGGGAAAATGGAGGAAACTTAGGCTGAATTTTGAGGATTTGAGCGAGATTGTGGTATCAGATTTGTGTAATTCTTGTATGGTTAGACTCGATATCGAATGGGCGTTCAGATTTTATAATTTTGGCCGGGTTTCGAGATGCGGACCCGGGTCGAATCTTGGAGCGAATTTTCAATTCTTAGCTAAGATCATTATTTCATTATTTAAATTAGTTTCCTATAGTTATATTTATAGTATGAAATTATTTTAGCTAGGTTCGAGCCGTTCGGAGTTGGAAAATCGAGGAAAAAGCCTTCTAATTGATTGATTGAGCGTGGTTTGAGGTAAGTGACTTGTCTAACCTTGTGTGTGGGAAATTCTCCTTAGAATTTGATACTGTGGCGATAATTTGTGAAATGTGAAGGTTGTGTACGCAAGGTAACGAGTGCGTACACGGGCTAAATATTGGAAATCCCGATTTTAGCTACGTAGTTTCCTTTTTCATGCCTTAATTGAGTTACTTTAACATGTTGTAGCCATCATGTGTAGCCTAATTTCACATGTCTACTTGTCTTATCTCCTATTTGCAACTTGTATCACATGTTTAATTGAATTACTTGCTTTTCTTGATTTCCGTATTCATTACTTAACTATGGAATTCTTTACTTGAAATTGCTATCCTTGAAATATCTTGTTGTTGAGTTTGGTATTGAATTGTAAGGCCGTGGTTCTTTTGAAGCAGGGTGTAAGTTATGAAATATCATTTATTTAGTTGTTGTGTTTTGACTTTCGTGTTATTGTTGAGGTGATTGTTTGGTTGTTTGCACGAGGTTTCTGCCTTGCAGTTGTTATTGTTTGCACGAGATTTCTGCCGTGTCGTTGTGATTATTGATATGCATGCGGTGGTATAAGGTCTGGGTATGGAAACACATGCTGTGAGATAAGGTGGGTTTGATACGCGTGGCTAGTAGGGGAACTACTAGAAACAATGCGTTGTGATAAAGTGGGCTAAACCGCGTG